AATAATTCAATAAGACGTCGGTTTTTAAATTAAGTACGTCGTGTTTTATGAACAGCCATTTGAAACTCCATTTTTTAGTTGTCTAATGTGTTATTACACGGCGGTTTTATAAAACCGTCGTCTTTTAAAAAACAACAACGGTTTTCACTTAGACCGTCGTGTTTTTCTGGTCGTCTTTTTCACTTTTTGTAGTAGTGTCATATAAATGAGACTTACTTACCACTTAGGTTTGAAACTTTTTTATTATAATGTTTGTTTAAAATAAGGTAAGTGTTAAACAAAAAATGCCTCATTTTTCAATTTTGTCCAAAGCCTCCAAAATCAATGAACCGCCCTGACATAAAGGTTACATAAGGTTTGCGTAAGTGTGTTTATCAAGAGTGGTAATTATGTTTTTAATGTACAAGAATTAGTCAACTATGCTGATTAGGATATAAATCCCCTAATTAGCTCACACAACACTTGGTACAATAGAATGAGTACGATAAACTGTGAGTTTGATCCTTAAATAACGATGCTAACTGACTAACTAACCAATCATATTATTATGATAACACATGTCGTATTATTATGATGACACATGTCAATCAATACCTCCCAATACCGCACGTGAATCATGATTTCATGATTACGCGTAAACCACTAGTTAAGGCCTAGCGCCGCGTACGAAGTCTTCCACTGTCTCTTTTGCATCCTCAAATCAGTCCACTAAGCATGCGATGTTCCTTTAAATGTGGATACAAACCTATACAACCTATGCTCAATCGATAAGCGAATAATGCTTCTCTTCTTGCGCATTTGATGTGGCTTAGCTACAATTTACGCTCAAACCTAAGCGAATAAACCTATACAACCTATGCTCAATCGATAACCTATGCTCAGTCCGCTAAGGAGGAACTTTTCTTTCTCTACTGATGTGGCTCAGCTACAATTTGATATGTCTCAGCTACAACTTGATATGTGTCTCTCTTGTTAAGAATGATTAAAGTGAAAAACAAATGTACATTTGAGAAATTTTTTTTAAAAAGACATGTTAGTTTGTGGTTGAGCCACATTTGTAGGTAAGGAGAAGTTCCTCTTTATAGGCAAAAAGGGAAGCATTATCCTAATTACACATGGCTTGCCTCCTTCTCCAGTAGAATGAGACGCTTTGTGCTGTTCACAGTTATGCAAAAATATTTCCATTAAAAATATTTCAAAAGAATTTATTTATCATATCAAATTAATTGTGATTGGCAGAAAAATAGGAGTTTTGAATTATAGAAGAAAGAGAGAGTATTTTCTTAGGAATATATTTAGAGCCCATGCTGTTTTGGTAAGATATGATGGGTACACTGTACACATACATTGCTATGATTGAGGGTGAAGTGCATGCAAGCTAGCCCTAAATGGTCACTCACGCAAAGTAAGATAGGGAAGAACATATATAGGTCCATTTGTCATTCAAAGCGTACATTTCAAGAAAGACGCACTAACACATGCGATATCGATTAAGGAAGGAATTTGGGTTGGTGAGGAGAGAGAGTGTAGTGGGTTTTTGTGGCCTGAGATTTTCAGGACCTTCCAAAAGCATAATTGCTGTTGAAATGGCTAACCATAGCAAAGCGCAATTCAATTGTCAAAGTTTGAGATAACCTTTCATACGCGTAGGCCTATCGGTTCTTCTTCCTTTTATTTGTTGGTTATCAAAAATTTGCCAAGGGAACATGATGTGAAAATGATGTTCATGATCACAAAGGAGAGTCAGCAAAATTTACAGCTGTTATTTGAGATTATTTGATGGCAAGCAATGAGTTGCGAATGCCAAGTGCTTATCATATAAGATTGAGTTTTAGTTTTTCAGTGATAAATTCCAGTAAGGTTAGAGTTTGGATTTTAGAGTTTAGGGTTTAGAGCTAGCTTTGTGTATATGGTGATCAATCCCCGAGTTAATCATGGTATATTAGTATGATCTAATATGCCATCACGACAATAATTACTATAAAATCTTGCAATTATAGTTGATTTTTTTTGTATCAAGAAATAAATTAGGAGGATCCTCTACGAATTCCAAATCATACATAAACTTCAAAGAAAAAGGCAAAGGAAAGTGTGTAAACCAAATACAAGTAGATCATCAGCTACCATGTTGGCGTTTTGCATTAGTGACAAGAGATGCCAAGGAGGAGGTAATTGGGATCCTTGTAACAACCTGATTAAAATCTGCGAATCACCTTCAATTTGTAACACTTGAATTCCCATTCGTTATGCCCACAATAACCCATATTTCAAACCATTTTCACAAGGATGGCTAAGAATTCCAACTAGCTAGATGCCAGTTTGGCCACAATTGTGATATGTGACTAATATACTAATGCGAACCCACGATCTGAAAGACACATGTAACACACATCACCAAAAAATAATTAATAACACCACTACTAGTAGCTAATTCATTGAATCGTTAATGGAAAAACTCATGCACTAAGTATGGCCTTCGTATATGCAACACAGATTATTGAAGTGTGAATGCATCTTATTGGCATGGCATTGGCATGTGGGCCCACGTCCTAAGTAGATCCCTATATAGGACCATTTGGAGTCAAAAGTGGAGCTAGAACTTTCATTGAACAGCAAGGAATTGCATGAAGACAAGAACACGGGATCACCCACAAAAGCACCACCGCCAGACCCACACCACCACCAATGCCACTAACAATCAAGAAAACCACAGACACGTCGCCATTGATGATACTTTAGTAAGTGCAAAAGAAGCTACTGGAATATCATGTTGTCATCAAAGTTTGAAAAAGTACTTTGGCTTTGCTTTCGGATGCCTATATATAGGGACCTCATTGCCTCGACCTTATGCACTCACAGCTAGCATTGGTTTTTGAGGAAACTTATTCACTCACAAACATCAACCAGTACGCTTAAATATATTCACATTCTCAAGAATCTTGACCAACCTACACAACCCACATTGAGTTTTTGAAGTTCGAGTATGGCCAGCACTAAGGTGATTGGTGCTGCGTTCTTGGTTTTGCTCCTCGTGGAGCTTTCCTTTGCTGCTAGGTCATCAAAGGCTATCAAAGCAGGTAGGGGTAGTGGTGGTGGAGGTGGAGGAGGAGGAGGAGGAGGAGGGGAAGGAGGGGGTGGCTCAGCTTCCGGGTCTGGGTCCGGGTATGGTTCCGGGCATGGCTTTGGGAGTGGCTCAGGGTATGGTAGTGAAGGAGGAGGCGGTGGGGGTGAAGGTGGAGGCGGTGGCGGTGGTGGTGGATCCGGTGCAAATGGTGGTTCTGGGTCGGGATATGGGTCCGGCAGTGGCTCGGGATATGGGTCTGGTGGTGGGAAAGGAGGTGGTGGAGGCGGCGGAGGTGGTAAAGGTGGTGGTGGAGGTGGCGGTGGAGGCTCGGGTTCAGGAAGTGGGTCAGGTTATGGCTCCGGATATGGAAGTGGAAGTGGGAATGGGAGGGGGGGGGGGGGGGGGGGGGGGGGGGGGGGGGGCGGGGGGGGGGGGGGAAGCGGCCACGGCGGTGGTAGGGGCTCTGGCTATGGGTCAGGTTATGGGTCAGGATACGGTGGGGGAGTCGGGGAAGATGATTCACCATGAATATAATATTACATGAACTTATTTGACTGTTAGGTAAATTTTCATCGTTGCCCATTTGTAACTCTGAAATAAATGCTTAGATTTCACCATCACTTTATCCATGCATCCATATATCGGTATAAATGTGGTGGTGGACGTAGCATATGTGCATGCCACCTTTCCCTGTTAAACATTTATAATTATCACATTGTTAGTCCGATTATACTATTAATAAAGAAAGTTTTTTTTTTTTTGTTTGTGTCAAATAATAAAGAAAGTTTATGTTCTACTCTATAAGCCATCAATCTTTTCTTTTGAGAAGAACTTGCATGACTCACGAAAATAACGTTGTTTTAAATATTTCTAACTATTACGTGTCGTCATGTGAATCAATTATCACTCATGACGGCACGTGATTAATTAAGAATGACAAAACAGTATCACGTGATGTACAAGTTTTTCTCCTTTCTTAGAGACGTGGTTTGATGTCCAAGTAAATGTGTTGCAAATGGTTTTATTGAGAAACATAATTGTACATTGCATAATGGTAATATGTAGACAAGCTGTATATCAGTGACTCGAAACAGAGATGCCAAAAATGCAAGACACCCTCAAAACCCCTTTTTTTGTTTTGAGAAAAGTAAGCACATTCATGTGAGAATCAGCTAAGAAGTAGTATGATCTTCTCTTGCCAAACTGATATTTACGTTGCCAGGCTCCGTATCCGAACCACATGTTCATGTCAAATCAACATAATGAATGAATCATCTTATCTTACTACGAAATCTAACAAGGAAAACAAGTTGCATAAATTTATAATCTGACAGTATAAGTATTTTAAGTTGCTAGATAGTCTAGCAAGATATAATTTCTCAAATTTAATATTTTCTTTATTTTTGGCCAAATGGTGATCAACAAATGTAATTTAGAGTTCAAAAAGGTTGGGAACTGACGCACAACGCATTGAACTTGTCTCAATTCCTACTCCTTGATTAGGGTTTAGCAACAAAATGCAACCAACAATTCGGTTCACCTGAATGGTCGAGTGTTTTCAACATGTGTTTCGAGAGGAATATTGTGGTTGATGCTTTAGCCAGTTCAGGGCATTCACTTTCTCCTTCTAAATTGTGGGACTCTTGCCTCCCACTTTCTAATCTCAATAGCTTCTATTTCGACCTCTTTGGGCATGGTGCCCTGGAGGTTTTCTGTTGTAACCTTCTCTTTTCCTAGGAAAGAAACGTAACAAGAATGGTCGAACCCAACACCCAAGGTCCTAGGTTTGAACCCAGCATGAAAATCCCATGTGCTCACTAATGTATTTATGTATAAAAATGTATAAATCCGACTAATACATCTACTTTATGCATAAAAACTCAGCTTATTAACTTACATAAGTTAAAATACTTCAATATAACAGATGTCTCTTTTTCTTAAGAACAAAATAAAGGAATTTTTTTTACCCGAATTAAGACATAACAATCTTCGCAATTATGGAATGAATTGAGTATCTCACATTAAATATACGTAAATCCGGGTTGTTCAATAGCCAACAAGGAAAAAATGTTTCGTTATAAGAACTTGATGATTTGAACGACAATATCTAACAAAGGTATATTCAGACAACACCTACAAATTCAGAAGTTACAATTGTATAAAATTAAGAAATAATTGCTAATCCTTCTATTTGGTCAATAAATAATGACTTTCTCCAACATTTTCCTCCCTGAAATATTATAGGTCGTCTCAGATAGCCCCTGTAAGTTGCTCTTCTGACAAAAAGAAGTTTGTTTTCCCGTTCTTGCTTCCTACTACAGCTTTTGGATTTTTCTCAACCAAACTATCATCCCGTGAAAACGTAAGTGGACATAAATATCAGAAAATGTTTAAGAAAAATTCAGACAGATCCACCAAGAGATTCTCGAAGAGTTGAGATAGTCAGAAAGCTATTCCATCGCCCTTTCGGAAGCATAGGACACCTTCTGCAGTATCATAGACTCGGCAGCACGGATTGCCCTCTGTGACCCTGTTATTGTCACCTTCCTGCAGAATTAGACAGATGGAGGAAAGTTAAAGACATTGGAGATCATAGCGTGAGCAGCAAACAAATGATCTCAACAGTTCTTTATACCTATCAGTAGTTCCAGACATGAAGTCACCCCTATCAGATATCTTTATCCTGGCCCCACTAGCCTGCAAAAACAAATTCTCTGGTTAGAGCTTCTGCAGATGTTATGAAGGTAAAATATATAAGTTGCTAATTATAAACCTGACTGATCTCCATTATGGTCCTTCCACCACGGCCAACAACCAACCCGATATGACTATCTGCAACGCCAATAGTGACTGAGTTACTTCGATCCTCCTAGAAAACAAAAGAATGTCTTTAGTCACTTGAAAACCAACAGCACAAAGGATGAAGGTAGCTTGTTTTGACTCAGACATGCCCCAAAAAAAAAAAAACAGTTCCTGATGGATTTACAGGGACTCATTTAGAAAACGGGGATGGAGCATCAGAAAAAAGATGGATTACAAAAAGTATTAGTTCACAGTACCAAACCCTATGCAATGGTAAAACGTTGGGGTGTTGAGCAGCCATAACATACAAACAATTAAAACCATACCCAATATCCTCTTTCTAGAAGGCTAGAACCACTCATAATGGATCAAGAAAGGAAAATGGTATTTTTTATTATTATTGAAGATCGGACAGATAGACAGACAAAATGAAACAATTATGCACTTAAAATTGTGATCAATTACATTTTTTAATGACAAAATTATGCAGGACACATTGTCATTCCGTGGCACTTTTTAACCTCCATGGCAATGAGGCTAATGCAATACTTTCTACTTCCAAACAGACTAACAGATCAAATCAATGACACATTTTGATGCGCCTACCAACAGAACTTCCAATTTTACTTTATCTATTCTGAGCATAGTATAAATCAGTTCCAGAAGAACCACTTGACAAAGTCATGTTTTCAAGCACGTCCGCTGTCCTGTTTTTAACTTTTGTAATATTTCAATGTGAATTCACAAATATTATCCCTCCTCAACACTAACAAGTCAAGAAAATGGCAGCCTAATAAGCGTATCTGTTCTTGAAAATTATATCATAAGTCCCTGCACGTCTGTTAATTTAAATAAGATTATATCTTAGTGGAAAAAGGATGAACCTTGTTATTCTGAAACTTTCCTCCAGTCCCATTTGGTGGTCCATAGCTCATTGCATTGTACGCTGCTGTGGCAACAGAAGGAAGCACATATGTATATGGAATACCATGAAAACCGGAGAAGAAAACACCTATAAGTTCAGTTGGAGAGAACTTACTAGGCATCAAATCTCACCACAACAGTTTTGTACAATCCAATTTAGGCAATTATATGAAATCATGCAATCATGCAGGGAAACAAATGGCCATCAAGAATCACTATTTACAAACACGGTAAAAAAAAAAAATTATGATCTTCAAATGTTGTCATAAAATGTTATACACACAGAACGTCCACTACAAGGCCCTACTCAGATAGGTCACTCATAAATCCACCTACTTTCTAAGGGCTCATCCTAAGTGCAAGGCCAAGCCGTGCCCCTCAATTGCGCAGAAAACTTAAAACGAAAATTTGGATCCCGGTGACAGGGTTACAAATTTATTAGCTCCTGTCAAATGACTTTCAGACCTTTCAAGTGTTGCCTCAGTAGAAGAGTCAAATGGATGCACGCATATACCAAGGAAAAAACAGAAACTTAAAAAGTGCCATTCTATGTCACACACAGGAAACCAACCGAAGGGATGTTAGAATTTTTCTCAAAAAGTAAAATCACTCCTCTTTCATTATACATGTCTATCATACAATTCGCACTTCTGACAAGTACTCCTCGAACTCTATCAAACAAGACACAGAGCCAATATAAACTCATACAAAAAATTTAATGTATTTGTTTCAGAGATGCATAGGGAACATTACACATGTAATTGGTTCCATATGTACACCACTTAAACCTACTTATTTTGGTGTGATGCACCAATGATACATTGCACGATTCTTGTAACCAAGTTGTGTACCATCTAATGTTTCTCGGGTGATGAAATTAAATATGTAATATATTCATTGTCATAGAGGCTTTGGGAGTCATGGGAAAAGCTATGAGAGCATCTTGGACTCTTGTACAAATGAGACCATAGATAGAGAAGATTTTTGGTGTGTGCTATGATTGAATTATAGAAGGATAACGATTGGATCTCTTGATCAATGCATATATATCAAAGTTACTTCAATTGGTTTTACATAATTTCATTTTCATTGTGTATCTTGTTTGAGAGATCTCAACGAATGATTTAAAATACAAAATTCACAAGGAGAAGGAACATTTTCAATGCAAGCTATAATATTTTGAAGTTGATAACTTTAACAATTATAAATAAGTTAACAATTATAAATAAGGGAAAAAAATGGAGACCACAACATATTTTGAGGGATAATTTAACAAAATCAATAACCAAGGACGCCTAATCCAGAAAAAAAAATATAGTGTGCTCGAGTGAAAAACAAATGTGATTTACCTCAGGCTAACTACACTGAAACATGTAAGTATCAGATTTCTATGAACCTTTTGATGGTTATAACATTCTTTTTTCTTTTGTGGGGGAGAGGAGTTCCAAACTGGGAACCTCTTTCCTCTCAAGCAGAAGTGTGCTCGCCAATTCGGATACTGATCTAGCATAGTCGAATATGTTATGCATTTTACACGAAAGCAAATGGAATGTAAAATAATTAGAAATAATATATTTTTTTAAACAAATCTTTATTTACTTGAAACAATCTAAAGAATCATATTTCAAGATGAAACCAAAAAAAAAATGTTTAATAGTGAAAACCAATACACCATCTATAATCATGTTCCTTAATTCATTTCAAAAGAGGGTGCCCAAAATCACATGAAGTTGCACTATTAGCATGCAAAAACCCCAAGCAGCTCCATAAATGAAGATTTTTTTTATTTTTAACAGCAATAAATTAAGAATATGATCATAAGTGGGCACACCTGGATAAGAAAATGGGGCATTCATAGACTGAGTGTAATGGGGGTCTTCAGATAGCTTAGAAACAATTAAATCAACTGCCCGCATTTGTTCATCCAGATTTCCTGTTACTGTCACCAGCCGGTCATTCAACCCAAAATAATTATTGTCTTGAGGGGATATTTTAATTCCAGCTTGTGACCCTTCAATAAATGACCTGGTCAAAG